TCTTTTATATTATATTCTTTTTACATCTGAGGAGGGCTCAATCCAGCAGCCGAAACTTGTTTGTTTTATATTTTAATATACGCCGTTGTACTTTTTATTTTATTTTATGTATCTTTGACTGTTATCTTTAATTATATATATTATGCGACGACTCTTTTTCGCCATTTATTTTGTTTATTTTGTTTAGTACATAAAGAGTCTTTACACCGTTGTTATTTAATAATAATTTAAATTATACGAGTACTATACCAATCTTACCACTAGCTTATGGTTTATCTAAGATTCATAAAATTGGATGTCCGTTGAGAATCATAGTTTCATCTGTTAGAAGTCCATTTCATAATTTAGCAATTTAATCTTTTCTACATAAGATTATTAATAAGAGTTTACCACCAACAAATAGCTATACAGTTAACAGTTAACAGTTACTTATTGACAAAAAAAATTTCAAAATTGACAATTTCTGCTGAATCTCCTCTCTTTTCTTTTTAGACGTAATATCACTTTTTACTAGTGTATCAACAAATCTAGTTTTTGATGAAATATCTAATAGATGGCATCTTATAGAAAAAAATATTGACATCTCAAAAACAAAATTTTTTAAAGTATTAAAATTAATTTCGAACTCTACTTTTTTCATGTTTAATGACAAATTTTATAGACAAATCTTTGATACCCATGGACTCTCCACTATCTCCTTTTTTGATGTTGACGGGTGTGAGACTCGCTCGGACCCCTGTGCTACACCCGACTTCAAGGGGTCTCCGGAGTTTCCCTGTTCATTTATCTTTCTTCGGTTATTACTTGCTGATAAGATTTTATCAGTTAACAGAGCGTACTGGATGGATTGAGCCGGTAATTATGTATTATATTTCGCGATCGTGCTGTTTCTCCTATCGGAGTTCTAACAGAGACAGTCCTCTCTCTTCGGAGTACAAGCTGAGACGATCCTCTCCTTCTGGAGTACTAACAAAGACTGGCGACTGAGGAGGAGGGATCACTCAGCGGATGTCGGTTACAATGACTTCTAGAAGTTTCTAGAAGCCGCGCTCGTGTCGTGTACAGTCACGCACAAAGTATCGGCCTGTACACTCGCAACGGGAAACGCGCTGAACTTACATACTAGTATTCTCAACACTTGCGATTCGTAATCCACAACTTTCGAGGAGATGCCCTTGCCCTTTACAATACCGGCAGAATCACCTGCCCTATCTTAGATCGACAATCTTTAGCATTATGCCCAAAATTATTTGACAGACAAGTTTTATTTTATTAACTATATTATGTTGCTCATTCTGTTTTTTCCAATAGTTATTAGCCAATGACCTAGCTTGTCACACCACTGACAGATTACAGAGGTTTTATTCTGATTACTGTTATTATTAGTTCGATAGCTTTTAGCGTTATGCCTGATTTAGAACATATTTGATAAATGACATTATCTCCCTGTAAAATGTTAACGAATTGTCGCGCTTGAGGGTCGACATCTGTCAGCGCTGTATCCGCGTTTCTTACAGATTTGACATATTAAAATTTCTGCTCCAAAATTAGTTAGTTTTCTACAGTTTGAAGCTGAATGTCCTTCTTTATAATAAATCTGACAGGTTTCTCGTAATTTATTCGTATTCGGTGCTTTATTCAATGTACTTTCTTGATTTTGTCGTAAATCTGTCATCGAAAGGAGTTCTCTTTCTATTCGTAACGCATCGGCTACCGTTTCTTGAACACCTAAATTCTTGTTATTCTTTGCTCAATTTCTGGTTTTAATCGTCTAATAAAACACTTACGTGGAAAGCCTTTATAAAACAGTCACGATAAAATTTAAATAAGTTAAAGTCGAGTCAACAAAACATATTACACGCCTCTACTCCCCTCAAATCCTTCGAATCTAACCCTGAAACGGCGGGATTCTCTTTGAACAAATCAGAAAATTTAGATAATTCTAAAACTCTTGTGTTCTTTGATGGCTCCGCTGACTCGGAAGACATAACCACTCAACCCGCGCGCGAATTCGGTATTATATATCTTTTTCTAAAGATGTCTTAATACTTTGATCAGAAAGGGCATTTCCCGAAATTTTATGGGCTTCCATTATTTGTTTTCCCAAAAATTTTACACGACTCGCGTATGTGATAAATTAGTAGTGATTAAATTAGATTTACATCCTCTTTATTCTTTTGATAAATACGGCCTAATTGATATATATTTTTTGAAGCGCCATAAACTTGTTTTAAATATTTCGTTAATTGTGCCACACTATTAAGGTCCTGATCTTGTATAGTGCGACGCGCCTCGCCCAAAATTTTTGTTCTTATGATTTTCGTGAATTCCGATTCAGCTTCATCCAGTAACATGAATTTCGCTTCCTTGCATCCTTCAATAAAGTAATTTAAAGGAATGTTTTTATCGTCGAAAAAAGGTACAGCTTCGATAGCGTATTTTAAAGTAGCGAATAGATTTTGATGCGTCATTGTTCCGTCAACTGATGTACGTTTACTCTCAGACGTAATACCGAATTCGCGCGCGGGTTGAGTGGTTATGTCTTCCGAGTCGGCAGAGCCGTCAAAGAACACAAGAGTTTTAGAATTATCTAAATTTTCTGATTTGTTCAAAGAGAATCCCGTCGTTTCAGGGTTAGATTCGGAGGATTTGAGGGGAATAGAGGCGTGTAATATGTTTTGTTGACTCGAGTTTAACTTATTTAAATTTTCTCGTGGGTGTTTTATAAAGGCTTTCCACTTTAGATTTATCGCCAGATTTTCTCGTATTCATTCCCGTCTCCTAAGATCGCATTTTTATCCCGGACGAGCCCCCAAAATTCATTGATTTGTTACGTCCAAACCCTTAAAACGAGATTAATGAGATAAGAAAGGGAAATGGAGAAGGTGTGGAAGGACGGCTAGACTCAATCTCACAGGTATACGCAGAGAGGCGAACACCTGTGAGTCGTACGCAACTTTTCGGTCCCGGAATGCGAGTCAACGTCCTGAAGAGACGCTATGACACCTGTTCCTGAGGAACGGTGCAAACGTCCTACTTTTTGGGTCAAGGAACTTAATCCTTTTGACCCGGGACTGGACTTCGTACGATCTTAAGGATTAGAGGGAGGAATGAAGCGAGGGGTAACACAAAAAAGGTGGAAAGCCAGCAATTTTCAAAATTACAATTAATTTACATTTATTTTGCTTACAGACATTAAGTGATTATGTGAAGGTGAATAAATATATCGCAATTATCTTTCGCAAGTTGTGTGTGTGTGAGCGTGTGTGTGTGTGTGAGGAGAGAAGGAGGATAGGGGTTACTGTGGGGGGGGGAGGTTGGAGGCGAGAAAGGTGATGCAGGAGAAGAGTCCCTAGAAGGTGATCCAGTGATTGGTGGCACAGTGATACGGAAAATGTACCGCGAACTGGCGAGACGTGAACTGATTCTCTTGCAGTTGATGTGGATCGACTATGCCGACTATCCCGAGTACTCGGACTAACTCACTGTGCTTCCTCGGGGCCTCTATTTATACCTCGAAAAAATGGGCGTAGTGTCCTTTATCTAGGATGCAATAGTTGCAATGTCTCGCGAGATTTATGATGTTTATGACGTCCTGTCGTTGTTGATCTAAAGTGCATCGTTAAGGGAATTTCTAGAAGAAATGATTTATGTTTTTCTCTAAAAGTCAAGATTGCTCCAGACGAATCTGTTATTCTCGCGGAAAATGTGGTTAGGCGGTTATCGTCCACAAGTATTTTTACATACAGAGCAATCATTATCAGTCGCGAGTCCGAGTTTAGATAACATTACCATGGAAAGTTATCTATGCGTTTTACGATTTTTTTTAAACGCGACGTAGCGCCTGTTTTCCTAAGGTGAAATTGTCATTCCGACGATAAGGCTTAGATTTTGTTATCGCATGATTTCGATACATTTTCTTGTCATGTTTTTCGGGTTCGCATTAAAATTGTTATTCCTTTTTGATTGATTAGCGTTTTACGAGCTTCGCGGAGCCCGCTCGGTCACTCTTTTTAAATCGTCCATTAGACCGTTATCAGCGCGCTCCACTAGAATCTCATAGGCGCTGCCCGTACTCGCGACGCAGGGCCAAATCTTTCGAAAGAAAAGAATTGGAACGTCTATAGGACGTAACACTATATTATGTGCAATTTAATTCACATATATGTATATTTTATAGTTTATAAGAGTTGTATTACTTTTATATTAAAAAAGTTCATATTACATTTTACAAAAGTACGCATTAATCAAGCCTCATAACCAAATTATTCATTACTCTTTGTCGTTTTGTATTGCCATCTTCTGGTTTATTAGATGTTAAAATGTTACGCTGGATGTATTGATTTAGTACCACGTCGACATCAATTAAATCCTTATTCAAAATACAAATATTATGCAAGACTGCAGTTGCTACTAGGTATTCCGGTATTTTCTTTAAAATAAAATCATAAATAAGAAATCCAAAATACCCTCTAGCGTTCTTTCCAGGTATCAAAGAGTCTTTCAATATAAATTCGTGCTGAAAATTGACAAAAGTTGAAGTTCTTCTGCCTATGATTCAAATGACCATTGTCTTTAAATGGCACCATCATATTTGGATGCCGTAGGCAGCATTATCAACAAGATGACTATCATTAGGAAAATACATTTCTGAATTCTCAAAGTACCGAACCACTGGGGAAGTTCTGAAAACACGAGCGTCATGTATAGACGTCCAGTGTTCCCAACAAAAATAATAAATTTTGTATATACACAGCCTGTAAATAAAACAAAATTTACGTTTATAATAATGCAGAATGTTGAGAATTATTTAACAATTTTATAAAACATTACCTGCACGCGACTTGAGGAATATCCTTTTCTATTTATCTAAACTTGATTATCACCTTTAGAAGATCGTATCTCTACACGACTACTGGGTGTCATCAATGGCTCCTATCACATTTGGAAATTCACACGTTCAAATGCTTGCATCACTTCAGTAGCACTGCTTCTTTGAGGTTATTGGAAAAATCGAGGAGCTAACTCATGTAAGGCATACGTAACTCGTCTCATAGCCCGAATTGCTGTTGCTTTTAAATCAAATTTAGTGCGCACTAATCTGAAAGTCATGATTTGTTTTTATCTAACAACTACAAAAAGGATCAGATATATTCATTATTACAAACCTATATGAGTCTGGTGTAGCCATCATCCACAGAGTCATTAGCAATTGATTTTGTGCTGGAATAGGCTTCCTACCTGCGACTGACTTGATAGAATTTAAGTTTGGTCCTATCAACCTCAAAATAAATTCAAAGGTTGTTGGGAGTAATCTATTCCAAAAACCAACAGAAAAATTATAAGTTTGCTAAAATTTCTATTAGGATAATAACAGCAATAAAAATGAATACAACATACCGAAAATGTGTTTTGAATTTTTTTGCCGTACTCTGGAATAATTCTTTCTACAAAGCCTTCAACGAGATTTTTTGCTTATTTTTTTTCTTTTTGTTTAAAGTCAAAGCTGCATATAAATTCAAAACTTCTTCATTTTCATCACTATTTAAAGATGAGCGATTTATGAGATTTAAGTTTTCATTCTCTGAATTCTCGAACATAGTTTCCATCAAATGCAATAACGTAGCTTTACATTGAATATGATCTATTATTGATGATACATAGGTTATGGGCCTCGTGATTATATCCACACTGATCCACCAACAGGCAGTCCGAAATAAAATCGTCGATAGCGCGATAACGGATCAATCATTAATATCATGAGAATTGTGAGCGCTGGGTGTGAATCAGACTGCAGCCTTGTAGTAGCGTCGGACTAATCTTAAATATGGGCTAATGCTCTGCCGCGTGGCCTTCACACTGCGGTCAGAACTTGCCGACTTATAGTTGACTAACAATCGACTGTGCTTAGTTGACTTTCAGAAGTCAACTAATAATCAGCAAATAGTCGACTGCTGTCGACTATAAGACGACTGTTGAAAGTCGACTTTAAGTCAACTAGAAACAGTTGACTTCCAACACGATTATATGCCGATAAACAGTCACTCGTGTTGTGTGAAAAAGTGTCCTTAAAGCATTAGTTGTCCTTTGGAGATATTAGGAAGGACGATAAAAGTATTGAGAAGACATTATAATTACGATAATATCATACGAAAAAGTCGCCGGTTTTCTATATGTG